AATTGAAAAATTGACAGTAGGAAAAATATCTAACTGATCAATTGATATATAAAAAACATGATTAACCTCACATCAGGGAATTTTATTTTATTTATTTATTTTTGATGAGAAAGTAATTTTATTAAATTATAAAAGTTTCCATTTCCGCCCCTCCTCCCAACACCCTCCCACTCCCCCTGATTTTTTTTTGACTGTGAATGAGCTAAGTACAGAGAGACATTTCACTGTATGGGCTGCTAAGCTAAACCAACATGTACATTTTAAAGTTATCTTGACTTCAAAGTTTGAATAAAGGATATGTTACTTTGAAAAAGAGGTTCTGCTTTTGTTTTCACAGAAGATAAGAACCTGTGGATCTCTTCCAGGCTAATGTGGTTTGAGGGAAAAAGATCCCCCCACCCTCGCAAAAAAAAAGTCTCTGTGAACCCTAAAAATACTTCACCCAACAAACAGTAGGAAGCAGTTGGAGAAAACAACACCCAAATTCCCAAAATGATCATTTATAAATATTTGTTTTCATTTAAAGGGGATTGATTATAAGTGTTAAATGGTCATAATCAATTTCTTAAAAAAAGGGGGGATATGATATAGAGATGAATATTTTACATTGGTATGGACTTTGGTTTATTGGTATAAATGTAAGGTCAATATATTTCTACTCTTGGTTAAGGTATTATGGTTATACAGCTCATTTATAATTAAAAATTATAGATTAATAGTCATTTATAATAGTCAAACTTGTCATGTTAGTTGGGTGTTCTAGATATATAGAGATATATTTCAGATAATTTTCAAACCTTTTAAAGACCTACAGACTATGGTCTTTTAAATGTTTTAAGAAGACATTTTTTAAATGTTCTAAGCAGTGAGACATGTCTGCTTCTGGCAGCAAAAATTACTTCAGAGAAGTTGATGGTCACTGAAGAAACTCATTATAGAATTTGTCTTCAATGTGACAAGGCTAGTCATTTGGGCAAAAAAATTGTTCCTGCCTGGACTGCTTTATGGTATGCTGTATGAACTGGACATGTAGGACCCATAGAAAAGTGACTGCTGAACTTTCCAAAAGATGGGATGGTCCTTCAGGGTTCCTGTTTCACAGAAGAAACTGTCAGACATTCTGCAGGACATACAAGAAAGCAACTGATGAACTTTGTCATTGCAAGGCAACATAGATCTTCACATTTCCTGCTTCGTGGAAAAGTCTGTTGGATACTCTGGGCCTGTAGGCTGAAGATGGACCTGTAGGGTGAAGATGGATGCCACAACATTACAGAACTTTGGATGACTGTCCAGACAACAAGATGTCTCTGTCAATTCTAAAGTTTGGAAGTTGTTTACAATGTACTTTCTGTTTACTTAGGTAATGTTATATCCTTCTGGAGTCTTTGAAGAGTTGAAGATATAATTTTCCTTAGTTATAATAAAAGGTAAATTAGATATGAAACTTTCCAGATACAAATAGACTATTATACAAATAATTCTTGCTTTATACTTATTTTGTTATATGTAATTTTACTGTGTAAAATTACTTTTTATTAAGACAGAAAAGAGGAGAGAGATGATGTGGCGTGTCCTTCATGATGTGTTGCTCTTATTGGTTAAATAATAATAAAGCTGCTTTGGTCTATGGCAGGGCAGAATATAGCCAGGATGGAAGAGATATGAAGAGAGAATAGGCAGAATCAGGGAGACGCCATGTAGCTGTTGAGGAAGGAAGACACCCTGAACCTTCCTGGTAAGGCACAGCCATGTGGCAATACACAGCTTAGAAAAATGGGTTAATTTAAGATTAAAGAGTTAGCTAGAAATACGCCTGAGTCATCGCCCAAACAGTGTTGTAACTAATATAGTTTCTGTATGATTATTCGGGGCCAGACAACAAAGGTGGAGTCTCTGTCTACATAGGACTGTGTGATTTTTTTTTGATTGACTTCTTACAGGAAGCATAATGTTTTCAAGGTTATATATCCATACCGTTACCTTTACCAGCAGTCATCCTTAGACTATGACTCTAATCAAAATGCTAGCTGTTGCTTCAGATTTATCTGATTATAAGAACAAGATTTCCCATTATGCTCAAGCTATTTAGAGCTGGGTCAGTTCCATAAAACTATATAATCTAAAATCAGTTTTTTCTGCTTGAAGTTATCAGGTAACTTTCAATTTTAACATCACCAAAAAGACCCCAGTAGCCAGTAGAGAGCCAAAAAAAACTTGGGTTTTCACAATATGGTATGACAGTAACTACAGATTAACATTTTGCTTCTTTTTCTACACTACCAAAAGTTAAAAGCGGCTAGAGGCAGGATAGATAGTAATAAGATAAGGTCACCTACAATGACCATGCAGCTCTGAAAGTGCTACTCCTTGGAGGAACCACAAACATACCATTTAACCAAACCAGGCATTAAGAGCAGCAGCAACAATGTTAGCTGACACAGCACAGCTGAGAAAGCAATAATGGAAGGACACCAAGACAGTATACAATGTCTTTCATTTTTGTAAAAGGGAAGAATTTGTTTTGATTCAAGGTTCAAGAGATACAGTCCCCCATAACAGAGAGCATGATGGCTAGAATAGACTCAGTAGGCAACAACCAGAAAATTTGCTTTTTAGTATTAGAAAATAAGTCCATAATCAAATTAGTAAACATTTCATTATCAAAGGATTCTGGTGATTGTTAATAAAAATTCAATGAAGTTTCAAGTAAAATGTAATTTAAATTAAACTTGCAATTTAAAAACAAAATACAACAACAACAACAAACAACCAGGGTCTTCTTATATATCCAAGATTGGTTTCAATAGGTGCCTGTCTCTGGGATCCTGAGTGCTGAGATTACAGGTGTGCATATCATATAGAGTTTGCATTAAGTTTAAAGTAAATCAAATTTACAGTAAAAACAGAAAGCAAGCAAATTTTGTTTTGGTACTAATTAATATAAAAAATTTAACATTTTCAATAGTCAAGCTACTTAGATTACCAGCAAATGTCTACGACCTGAAAATCAATATGGATACTAAACAGTAAACAGTACTATAAGTGAATTATAAATGTTTTCTAAGTCTGGAGAGATGGTTCAGTGGTTAAGAGCACTGGTTGATTTTCTACCCAGTTCAATTCCCATCACCCACAAGGCTGCTCTCAGCCACCTGTAACTCCAGTCCAAGGCAATCTGATGACCTTTTCCGGCCTCTGTAGACATTGCACACATGTGGTAGACAGCCTATGTTCAGGCAAAACACCCATACACATAAAATAAAAATTTTTAAAAAACTGTTTTGTGGTTAAACTTACAATCTTGTGGGAAAGCAGCAACAAAAATCTACATAAAGCATTAAGCCTAGCAGCGGTGGCAGGGGCCTTTAATCTCAGCACTCAGGAGACAGAGGCAGGCGGATCTCTGAGTTCGAGGCCAGCTTAGTCTATAGAGTTCCAGGACAGCCAGGGCTTCACAGAGAAACTCTATTTAAAAAAAACCAAAAACAGACTGATGATCTGAGTCTGATTCCTCAAACCCACATGGTAGAAAGATACAATCAACTCTTTCTTACTCTATCTTACAAGCCTGCTGTGGAAAATAAGCACTCATGTATACATGTACTCACATACACACAAAATAAAGGTAAAGATTGTTTTTCTAAAGAGTTGGTAGTAATTATAAGTGATAGTTATCTCTAACAAAGCAATGCTAATAAACATGATTATAAGAGTGAGGTTCACTGGGCCGGGGGTCCTCAGACTTTGAACTCAGAGATCTGCCTGCCTCTGCCTCCCAAGTGCTGAGATAAAGGGCTTGCCCCACCAGGCTTGATGGGACATTTTAAAAGAATTTTCAAGGTCAAAACTATCTTCCTGAAAAACAAAACAAAACAAAACATTAATAATGTGTATGTTGATGTTATGGGTATATATATGCATGTTAACACTGCACTGAGGCAAAGGGTTAAAACTGTTAGTGCTCTAGCATGAATTAAGATAAACCAGCATTGTGCTGTTTATATATAGTGTTATTATATTTCAGTGAGGTCAATTTACTGAAGAATGTCCTTGGGGCTAGAGAGATGACTCAGCAGTTAAGAACTCTGGCCGCATTTCCAGGACTTGGGTTCAATTCTCAGCACCCACACAGCTGCTTAGAACCATCTGCCACTTCAGTCTTAAGAGGATCCACAGGGCAGACATACATGCAGACAAAACACCCACACTCCTTATTGCCAGGACAGTGGCACACACCTTCAAGCTCTGCACTTGGATTGTGAGGCCAGCCTGGTCTACATAGTGAGTTCCAGGCCGCTGAGCGTCACAGTATAGTAAGTTACAAGCCAGTCAAAACTACAGAAGTGAGAGCCTGCCTCAATAAATAAAGAAATAAATAAGCACACACACACATTTATGAATTAAATACTGACCTTCTCTTTCAATTACATGACAAAACAGGAGTATACATAAATGACTCCTGCAGCAATATCAGCTTCTATAGTCAAATGTAGAAAAAGTACTTAGGCAATTAAGTTGTGAAATGAATTAACCATTTTTTCAAGAAACACCATTTTAACTTGAAAAAATGACAGAGGAATTATAGCTATTTTGATTCAGTGTCTAGCAGATGTTTTCAAAAATGAGCAAAGTAAGCCTATGGCTTAAAGGAAAACAATTTACAGTATTTGCTGCTAATGATTAAGATTTGGGTTTTCAAGTAAAAATTAGTTTTAGAAAACTGAGTCTACTACCATGAGCTTGACATATTTCAAACACTAATGATTTTTCTGAATTGTACTAATAGCAATTGTAAAATTTCCTTCTTTTAAAAAAAAAATCTCTTTAAGTCGGGAGGAAATCTTTTCATAAACGGTGTTGGCATTTGGAAGATCTGAACAGCTTCATTTGGTTTTGTCAGTGGAATGTTTTCCGGGGGCTGTATTATATAAATATATTTATATAGTATCTATAATTAAATATTCTGAAAAGGTAAATGCTTTTTTTCAAACACTTACCTGTATGCTAAATTCAGAAACTGATGTGGAAATCCACTGTCTTCTCTTAAACCAGGTATCAAAGAGATACGAAAAAGATGTTAAATATGGACATTCTTCTCATTAAATAATTTTGGTTTGGGAAAGTAAGTTATTTTCCACTAAAATTTTTATATTCATACAAAATAACTTTGAGGAGTTGGTTCTCTCTTTTCCACCACATGTGTCTCAGGGATTGAACCTAGATCATCAGGCTTGGTAGCTAACACTTTTGCCCACCCAGTTACCTGCAAGTTCAACATTTAGGTAGGTGGGTCTATGAGTTCAAGATCAGCCTGGACAACAGAGTTCCAGGAATTCCAGGGCTACACAGAGAAACCCTGTCTCAAAAAAACTAAACAGTAACGCACACGCACGCGCACGCACACACACACACTATTTAATTTCTAAAAATGGAAAATAGTGAAAGAGATGCACAAATAAAATCCAAGACTCCTCAATGAATCTCAAACCTCAAACATCTACAGACTTTTAAGGTAAATCACAAATTGTTGGGGCTGGAGAGAGAGCCCCATGGTTAAGAGCACTGGCTGCTCTTCTAGAAGATCTGGGTTCAATTCCCCACACCCACATAGCAGCACACAACTGTCTGTAACTCCAATTCTAGAGAATCTGGTACCCTCACACAGACATACATGCAGGCAAAACACCAATGCACATAAAATAAACCTTGTTAAAAAAAAAACCCAAACCTTAAAACAAACAAACCCACATATTGTCCTTATCTTTCACGCTCTCTCTTCCTCCTCCCTAGTCTCATTGTAGCCTAGGCTGACTCATGGTAACTCTCCTGCCTCAGTCAAGCCTGGTGAGAAAAGCGAGTCAGATTGCCTGGACTGGAGTTACAGATGGCTGTGAGGAGTCATGTGGGTGACAGGAACTGTACTAGGTTGAAGATCAGCCAGTGCTCTTAACCACTGAGTCATCACTGCAGTCTCAGAAAATACTCCAAATTCACACTGGTTAGCACCCATCAGAATTTTCAGGTCATCAACATTTGCTGGTAAGATGAGCAGTCTGACTACTGAAAATGCTAAACGTTTATATGGGATTTCAAGCATGGGCCACCACAGTCCAGCTCAGTTGTGCTTTATAGGTGCCACTCAAAAACTATTCTCACAGTAGTGTCTAGCAGATGAAAGGACTCTCATTGAATACTGACTTTACCAAATCTAAATGGAAACAGGGTGTGCTTTTTAGTGTTCAAAGTTTCAAGTGATACAAAATTCCAAACTCTGTGCAGAAAGAAACAGTAATGACTAACCTACAAAAATGTTAGCAATGCTTTCAAACAAAACCTTTTGACCAAAATTGAGATTTGTATAAGGTTGAGAAGAATTAAAATAGTGGAGTATAAAAATTACAGAAGGCTTTGATACACCTGAGTTAAAATCACTCCCTTGACTGTTAAGTCATAAGCATAGCTTCTTTTTAATTTCTAAGATTGAGGTAAATGAGGAGTTTTTAAACATACCTGTAATATTGGTGCTCAAAAAGCTCCTTCAAACAAGCTCCTGCCTCTGTGACAAAACTGAACCAGAAGGCCCCAAACAGCAATGCAAGTCAAAACTGATCATACACTCTCATTCAGTACAGGCCTCCAGTAAATGACCACTACCCCAGAAAATAATGAAAATATTTTAATTAATCACATCCACTGTCAGGGATCAATATTTTACAACTATCTATGGAGCTGGAGAGATGGCTTAGCAACTAAGAGTTAATTTTCCACCTGTAACTCCAGGGGATCTGACACCCTCTTGTGGTCTCTGCAAACAATAGGCATGCACATGGCACACATAAATGCAGACAAAACATCCATACACATAAAATAAAAATGCTAAACAAACAAAAATAACAACAACAACAACAAACTCCAAATATCATTAAGCAGGGTGTAATGGTTTAAGTCCTTAATCCCAGCACTTCAGAGGTACAGGCAGGCAGATCTCTATGCATTCAAGGCTGGTCTGGTCTACATAGCTAGGGGCTATACAGTGAGATCCTGTATCAAAAACAAAACCACCCTCCAAATGCAAGGTTACTTCAGAAAGCACAAGAGTTTGGGCTCAACTGTCTACAAAAACTAAATCAAAACAAACAACTACCTATGCATTTTTCCTAAAGCTGTTTCAGTCCTTCAAAATCATATTCACATTCTTCCTAATAGTGCATAGTCATCTAATCATGAAACACTTAACCAGTAAACCATAAAAAAACAAGGACATCTTGACACACACACCTTCTTTATATATGTGTGTGATATATATATATATCTTCATGTGCACTGGTGTTTTGCCATGAGTTTCGGATCCCCTGGAACTGCAGTTACACAGACAGTTGTGAGCTGCCATGTGGGTGCTGGGAACAGAACTAGGTCCTCTGAAGAGCATTTAGTGCTCTTAACCACTGAGCCATCTCTCCAGCCCCTTGATATTTTAAGAAAATTATCAATGAAGCAATTCTGAAGTCAGTTGCCTTACAGACCAGAAAAACTGATAGGAGGCTAAAACAATAATTTAAATCCTAGATACAGTTCTATGAGATAGCTCATATTGTTTCATGCTTGGACTATTACTTGAAGAATTAGACAGTAGTTATTTTAAGCACAGTAAATATGTTCCAAGATTTGTGATGAGAGAGGTCAGTCTCTAAAGTTACTAAGACTTAATAGCTTAGCAATGTTTTTCACTCTGTATACTTTGAGTGAACAAGGCTATTTCCCCAAAACAAAATAGCCCATCACTGTTACTTCTACATATTTTATACTCAAAATTGTGTTGTATATTAATACTCAAAATTAGCATAAGTTGTTTTCCAAGATCTAATTACTTTTCTAACATAGTTACACTCTATTTGAACCTGGAAACTTTTAGAATTTTTATAAAAACTTTGAAAGTTTACTAGAAATGTTACAAAACCAAACTTTAAGTAGAAGAGCTTAACTTGCTTGTTCCTGGCAAACCTCCCCGACAGTGTGGTCACTGCCATCTCCTACACTGTGCTGTATATGGACAGCCTGCTCTGTTACGACTCTCAAACTGGCACTAGATGATCCTGCAGCACACTATATGAAGAGGTCAAGTTTTGTGGACATCATCCAATAACTCCTTTAACATTATTTCAAAGATACAGAGACTTCCTTTGACTTCTGTACTTTCAAGAAAGCATGACTGTATTTTTGGAGGAGTCAAAATGATATACCAAAAGGTACTAATGAATACTAGATAGAAATTTATGAATCATAAAATTATGACTTCAGAAGAGTCACATCATTGTGCCCAAATTGTCCTCCAACAAGCAATTCCCCGTTGACTCTTTAATGTGACACAAAGTGCAGAGTAACATGTTACAGACATACAGAAAAACAACCTAAAAACCACACACAGCAAATAAGGGAGCAAGAGATCCAACCACATTGGATCTACACATAGTAGACTCCCCTCTTCCCTTAACAAAAAAGATAAATTGTTCAGTGAGTTGTCAAGCATCTCACTAACACTAATGTACCAATGTCTACAGCATTCATGAAGCAAATATCTAGTACTGCTAGTTTTGTAGATGAAAAGAATCATAAGACTTAAATGATTCTTCTAAGGTCACACCCAGTTAGAGAGCAGGTAATATTAAATTAAACTGTCAGATTTTATACTCATTATTTCTAATCAATCTCTCCCTCAAATGTAACAACTATCTCACTCTATATGCTGCTGAATATTTACACATACACGTCTAATAACGTAGTTACCAGCCATCTGAGACTATTAAGCACTTAAGATACAGCTGGTCTAAACAGAGAAATACTGTGATGCTAAAATGGAATTTGAAAATGTAGGAAAAAAAACATGTGAACTATTTCATTTTTTAGGCACAGACTAATGTTAAAATGACATTTAGGATATCCTGGGCTAAAACTCATTGTATGGCAATACTTTTGCCTCCCTCAAAACATAAATATTAAGATCAAACCAAAAAGCAGTAATTTCTTAATATTTGTTACATTCTACATACAGTACATATGTAACACAATGCAGTAACTGTATCTGGAGGAGAAAGTGCACATACATGTTTTGAAGAACTACAAGCATGTAAGTGGCAAATACAAGTAATAGACTTGTATTCTAAAAGTAATAAAAAATGTTTTTGTGTCATAAGTGCACATGATTTTAGAAGCTTTTTCCTTTCTTTTGCGTACTGGGCAGCCTTATAATGCCATAATTCACCACTGAACTACACCCACTTAGTGATTTTGAGTAAGTCATAAAAGTAAAATTTTTATTTAATCATATTTGTAGATGAAAAATGAAAATATTCTAATTTCTAATACATATACATAGATTCAGTCATCAAAGAGTAGATACAGATATTACGATCCCCAAAAAATGCCTAATAAGCTTTAAAAAAAATTTCCACTCCTTTTTTGAAAAATATTTATTTATTATGTATACAATATTCTGTCTGTGTGTATGTCTGCAGGCCAGAAGAGGACACCAGACCTCATTACAGATGGTTGTGAGCCACCATGTGGTTGCTGGGAATTAAACTCAGGACCTTTGGAAGAGCAGGCAATGCTCTTAACCACTGAGCCATCTCTCCAGCCCCCCTAATATTCTTTTATCTTTAGTTTTAAACTTCCTATCATAGTAGCCTGGTAGATTCAATATTTAATCTCTTAGAGACTACAGTGGCAAGAAAAACATAGTAAGGCTACGTTTTTTAAAGAATAATTTTAAAGCAGGGCATGGTGGCATATGCCTGCATCCCAGCTGGGAGGGCAGCAGGGATGACCAAGTACAAAATAAAAAAATACAACAGTGCGGCAGGTTGGACATGGTGGCACATACCTGTAATTTTATCATTCGGGGGCTGAGGGAGAAGGACTGAGAGTGTAAGGCTTTCCCGGGCTACAGCTACATAGTGAGACCCTGTCCAAACTAAAAGAACAAGAGGGAGGGGTGGACGGGGCAGAAAGGGAGAAATTAAGTCTGGCAACCCCATAAAAAAAAAAATCTAACATTTCATATCACCTAGCATCTCTTTCTTGGTCTGTAACCAAAAGAAATAAAACTGTCACATAAAAATGTGTACACAAATGCTCATATCAGTATGTAACTACCAGGGTTAATGATGTATCCATGAAGATGAACGCATACACACAAGTTGGTCTAACTATATGCAGAAATATTATTCAACCCTATGAAATATTCTTGATATAGTATGGATGGTAGATAGCCACAAAGTAACATAAAATGTACATTCTGTTTACATGAGTCGTTCAGAATGGGCAAACGAAACACTGCTTTTAGGCCTGGAGTGGCCGAGAAAGAGAATCACTACTAATGACTATGTCAGGGGTTCTTTAAAGAGTGGCAAATATCCTAAGTAACTTTGGTGCTGACTGCACAATTATGTGAGCATATTAAAAACCACTTTATATGGGTGAACTGAGTGTTATGTGAATCACATTTCCATGAACCTGTTAAAAATACATAGCAAAAGAAAGGTATTAGAAGCCAGGCCTGGAGGCAGAGGCAGGTGGATCTCTGAGTTTGAAGGCCAGCCTGGGCTACAGAGCAAGTTCCAGGACAACCAGGGCTGTTACAGAGAAACCCTGTCTCAAAAGAAAAAAAGAAAAAGAAGAAGAAGAAAAAAAAAAGGAATTAAGAGATTGGCTGGTTACATGATACTTTTCTGAATTTTTAAACTTTGTGGTATTTATCAGTTTTATAGTTTCCTAATTTGTGCTTTTTATCTATTCTAAATATTTATATTAGCGCGCGTGTGCGCACGCACATGCACACACACACACACACACACACACACACCCGGAGTTCCATGTGTAAATTTAATGACAACTATGAATTGTACATTTAAAAAGTTGACTTTTATGACATGTAAAATTACTCCAATAAAGATGCTAAATTTGAATACTGAGGAGATGGGTCAGTGGTTTGGCTTCAAGCACCCACATGGCAGCTCACAACTGTCTGTAACTCCAGGTTCAGGGGATCCGGCACCCTCCTCTGGCCTCCCTGGACACCAGGTGCATACATGGTGCATATACATATATGGAAGACAAAACACCCCTACAAATGAAATCAATTTACAAAAAAGATTTTAAATTTCTACTATAAGAATTAAGAAAAATAAGTTGTATTGACCTTCAAACAATCTCAAACAGTCATACACACTCTGGGGCACGTAGTCCTAACTACCACAACCAGCTAAAACAGCACAAAGTACGTTAAAAGCCTGAATGGCACTTTAAGAAGTGCACAAAAGTTGCTATCTCAATCAGGCAAATGCTCGCGTTCAGAAACTGACCACAGCAACATGAAGATCAGTCACAAAAACATAGGGCGATAAGACATTTTACCACTTTCTCTTCAAAGCTAAACTCTTGACTCAGAATGGTTTGTGTGAAAGGAAATATAAACAGACTCCTAAAAAAATTCCCAAAGCTGAAGAAAAGGGTTGATAGAAGCGCGTACGCGCGCTCACACACACATACACACAGTGGGGAGAATCTCTGTGCTTAATACATCGAACCTTGGAAGCAGCTGTGTCTAAGACAATGAAGCCTTCTTTCCCCCCTTTTAAACTACGCGGTGGTGTCAATCCGAAGACCACCCGATTCCACCACTGCCGCCACCACCACCAAGAGGTGGGGAGGAAAAGGATCCCGTAGACTAGAGGGTGACAGCTTTGGATAACCCTTTGGACTTTCTATGTAAGAATGCAGCTGCTAGTCTCTTCTCAAGAGAGGGGTAATGAGATTTGTGGAGCAGCTCAAATAAGGGGGATCCTTTTCCTGGAAAAGGGAACACCGTGGGGCCATATCTCGAATCAGCTACGACCAGAGTGAAAGCCAGGCCGCTGGAAGGCACTGTTAGCATCACCAGGACAGCCTCTCGTGGCGCGGGTGTCTTTTTCAACGCAGAAGTTGACTCCTGTAGTTTGGACGTTGGGGTTAAAAGAGAAGTCGGGGAGATCAGGAACAAACGCCTGCATGTGGAGGCGCCGCAGGCCCGGGGAAGTTACGGAGGTCGCCGCTCGCTCCCACGCCGCCCGCTGCCCGCAGCGCCCGGCGTCGGGGC